AATAACAGCTGAAAGCCGCTGTGTTTCGAATGATGAGTGTAGAGAACTAAAGACCCTTTTTACGGAAACGAGGCATTCCATCTAAGTCCTCACGGGTGACAACGCATCTGCATTTTGATTCGTAATCATGGATAGATGTCGATGTCTATGGGCCACAGCAACCACTTATCATCAGGTGGACTGTGTGCTGGTTTGTCACCCTTATTCTATAAAAAAAGACGAGCGAGTAGATGTCAGCGAGTTTTAAAATAATATCTGCAAAGTCGTGGTAAAATAGTAACGATAATTTATTGTTTATGCAAGTCATATCCAAATTGATGGCTAATTTAAAAAAATCGCCATCCCGGTTCGTCTACGTGATGGTCTTTGAGAAAAACTTCTGTAACAAACAGATAGATGTACATCGATCGATTGCTCAATTCTTTTCAATGAAACCCAAGACTAAAAAGATTTAAGCAATTGTATTCAATCCCATTTTCCAAAGATGAGCGCTATACATATATAATAAGTGTTATAGCAGCACTATACAATGTGTAGGTAAGGAACTAAAATGGTAAATAACCTTTGTTCTTATAGAGTAGTCGTTATGTATGAGACGATAAAGAATAAAATTCGCTACTGATTTCATAAGTCAGTGCATTATTACAACTATAAAATAAATCATAATCATAATATTCTAAAAAACAGTGTTAGAAATTTAATAGATAAAAAGTTCGATATTACAAAATGTTATTTTTTTTTGTTATTGTGATTATTCCACTGTCTTGTTTGGTATTTCTTAGTCGATAATTTATTTTTAGGTTATGTTTCTGATATACTGTAATTTGTAATAATCTGCCATCTTTTCTTATATTTTTTCTGTAATTTTACTCTTATTATGAAGCATGTTCTGGCTGCCCTAAATAGGATATACATTGAAAACTATTTTTATATAATATATTTTTGTGAACATGTATTATTGTAATTACCTCTGGCCTTAGTTAAATAAATAAATTATAACTTATGTATTTGTAGCCCTTACAATTTGACCAAGGTCACAATTTATATTGATTGTTAAGAACATTTAAGAATTATGAATACGGTCGTGTGGACTGAATTTAAATGACTAGTATTTAGTAACATAATTATTTGAATTGACACAATTATAGCAAGTTACTTAAACCATTATATTTGATATATTATCTATAACTATTACAAACATTATACAATTATACATATAAAATACATATTCATAAGATATATAATACTCTTGATAAATAATTAAAAATTAAAATTTAAACCACGATTTTAAACTTCATTCGGTTTTAAAGTCGACCTGCGCTTTGGATCAAAGTTGAGTTCTTCATCCATAGATTGGCACCTAGAGCTTTCATCTATTTTGTTCTCATACTTTAAATACATGTTGCCAAAACCCATGTTGTGTGAGGCTGCTGCTATAATTGAAGCAACTGTGTAAGATGGATGCGGCAGATCAGGAATTTGCGATATATACAAGTTTCGTAGCTTCTGTCTTTCATCGATTTCCTTCCTATCACTTAATTCTGATAATATTGTATCTGACGTCGCGTTTTCTTCGACTGACGAATCGTAATTGCTCGTTAACTTGGAGACTTCATTGCATTCTTCAAAGTGAGTCATACTCTCAAAAGATATCTCATGATGTTGATAATACGATAGTCTGAGATGTGAGAAATCGTCGATAAAAGAGCACTCAGCGCTCTGCTGATCCGATAATCCGGCTGTTGTGTTTTTTTCTAATATTCTATTATTTTGGTCACCCATTGTTCACTTCACAAAACGTTTTATGAGTTAATATTTTACGAATGCGATGTTATTTGCTTTCACTGTACATGATAATGTTTATCTACACACTGCTCTGTTACTTCTTATTAGTTTGTACTACACACGGTTGATATAGATTCCAAACTACCGTCTGTTTTCGTTATAAAAATACAGATTATGTAGTGAAGTATGTACATTTTAAATAATTACAATATTTCCTGATATTTAAGTAAACATTTATTCACAAATATTTGCTAACACTATCGGAAACAAAATAATTAATATATCGAAAAAAAATTATTTAATTAACACCAATAAAAATATACAGAATGATTAATTTACGACAGCAAGTTTGCAAGCGATAGTAACCTAATGGCAGGGTGCGGACTTGGAACACAAAAGATCGCGCGTTCGAATCCGCCACTCAACTACTGTTGGGAACCACTAACACAAGCATTTTAAGCTTACCAGGAGTGGTTCAAGGGAATTTTAATAATATTAATAGCATGACTAGTATTTTTTATAAGAGTAGGCACGATCAAGGATAAATATAAATGTATGTAATGGGCTTCAGCATCCACTTAACTCGTGTGTGGCAACGAAATGCCAAAAAAATCTCACGGCTTCCTGTAGATGGTGGTACAACTCTTTCTACGCTAATTATTAAATATGGAGACGTCCATGTCGAGCAGTGGACGTTTACGGACTATTGAAAATTATTTGGCTTATAATTTAAAAGTTTAAAAAAATAAGGGTGACAAACGAGCACATAGTCTACCTGATGGAAAGTGGATGCTGTGGCCCATAGACATCTACATTTATCCTGGATTAAGAATCAAAATGAAGATGATTTGTCACCACTGGGAGCTAAGACGGAATGGCTCGTTACCCGTAAAAAGGGTCCCCGGTTCTCTACACTCGCCATACTAAACACAGCAGCATTAAGTTGCTATTCTTTGAGAGCGTGTCCCGGTCGAGCCGATCTATTCGTACTACAACCATAATATAGCTGTAGCGTGGTTCTACAATTTACAATATTATTAGTTATAGTTTAGTATAATCCTTATCATAAATAAAATAACCACGTTTGTCGCTAAACATAGGTTTCCCTTCCACTAATGGCTCCGTGGCATAGCACTGAGTTGCTGACATAGCAATGAGTTGCAGCGCTGGTGGCGCGAGTTCGAATCCCGCACGGAACAAGTATTTGTATGGCCTACAAATAATTGTTCCGGGACTGGATGTTTGTTCTTGTACAATTTATGTCTGTAAACTGCCTCTACGGTATAGTAGAAAACCCTAGTGTAGGGGTAACGTTTTTTTAAAGAAAAAAAAGTAAAGATAAATGAAAGACTACCACAAAACACGGTACTGAGCCACTCCGGTTATCAATTCTTCGAGCTATATGGCCGACCCATTACCAGTGCCAACTTACTTATCCCATTGATATTTGTCAGTTATAGAGAGAAATAATAATTGGTACGATATTATAATAAAAACTGTTCATGTTAATATTATATTAGACTGTTATATTAAACTTGTATGATTTATTTAGTAACCATAAATGATTTTGAGACCTGAGACCTGTTTCAGAGTCTCTTACACTACACATACAACAAAATGTGATTATTCTAACACCAGGAATTATAGCTATTTAACGACCTCGCCGCCGATAAGCCGAGAAGGCTTTGTGTGTACAAGTTTTGACATAAAGTTTTCCCCTGTGTTTCTAGACAGATGTGGAAACTTAGATAAACGTAGACTGGTGTAATTTTATATTTAACAATTAACAGATTTCGGTTGGATGACTGGGGGCTGGATATATCTAACGTACTTGAGACGTGTCATGTGTTGTTACATTATTATAAATATAATTTTATGTGTGGATCATCCGCAGTTAAGCCCCATCCACTTCAGTCAGTTTACTTACGGATACAATAGTCAATACCTATTACTAGGAGGTAGGACTCTTACCTAGTTCCGCTGCTAAGCGGTAATGCGTGCGTTGCAGCTGCGTTGCACCTTGTCCAGCGCATCTGTAGTCTTATTTTTTTGAAGTTGGTTGCAGGTGTAGTCATAGTTGACACGCTTGGCAATTAGTAGAGTTGTCACCCTTAAGGGTGTTGATTTTCTTCAAATTTATATGATTTCAACCCTAAAGTATAACCTATTTGACAAAAAGAGAATCATCGAAATCGTTTCAAAATTGACGAAGATATTGCGTGACACACATACAGGATACAGAAAAATACAGTCGTATTGTAAATCCCCCTCCTTTTTTGAAGTTGGTTAAAATGAGTATTTGTATGTAAACAACGAAATAACTTTTTGTGACCTGCGACCTTAGCACAAACATTTGTGCAGTAACGATTTCGTATCGTTATCGACAATTTTATTTTATATGGATTTGCACGGGTGATTTCTGGAAATCGATAATAGTGCCACCTACCAGGTCGATTGTGAATTTAAACTGTCCAGGGACACACAAAAAAATTCATCAAATTCCGTCCGGCCGTTCAGGAAGAGTTCAGTGAGAAATACACGTATAGATGATATATATATATATATATATATATATATATATATATATATATATATATATATATATATATAGCATATTTATAGCTATGAACCCTGGCAGATGTAAATGGAACTATATTTACTCGATGGCGTATCGCTATGATAGAAAATTCACGCATGATAATATTTTACTTAGTCTGGTAAATTAATTTATGAGCTATATTAATTGTATAGTTGTAGCACGAATAGGTCGGATCGACCGGGGAACGACCACGGTCTCACAGAATACCAGCATAAAATAGCACTTCAATGCTGCTGTGTTTCGTATGGAGAGCGTAGAGACCGGAGGCCCTTTTTCTGGAAATGAGGCATTCCATCTTAGTCCTCACGGCTGACAATGCATCTGCATTTTGATTCGCAAACAAGGATAGATGTAGATGTCTATGGGTCACAGCAACCACTTACCATCGGGTGGACTGTGTGCTCGCTTGTCACTCTTATCATATAAAAAAAATGAAAATGTATGCGACAGATAAGCTTTATCCATTAATCTCAATTGCTGTGTATGACAAGATTTTCCATATCTTATCATCTATATTCATTTTATCATCATATTTCAGATGATTACTTGCTATAAATACGATGTGTTTTCTTTCTCAACATCTTTGATCAGGTACGAGTACATCAAGCAAATAATCATGAAGGTCGCTGTTATTTTCTTGTCCGTACTTTCGTTAAGCTTCTCGGCCCCGCACGCGAGGAAGGTTTTCCACGAACATGCTGAAGATTTTTTGGACCTGATCATGGATGAAGCTGGCCATGAAATCAGTCACCTTTTCGAACATTACATCGAATTCGAAGAGTTTAGGAAGTCTCTCGATTACATGAGAACTTCTAACTTCAAAAACCTCGTCTATGAAATGGAATCGTTACCTGAATTTAAAGCGGTAAGTGTTAGTTTTTTCTATTTATTATGTTTGCTATATATAAAATCTATTTGATATTAAATAGAAGAACTATTTTTATAGTATAAAAATAAAAGATTTAATAAGATAATAATGGTATATTATGGCATTTATATTTAAGTTAGCAAAAAAATTAGAACAAATTAATAATTAAATTTAAATGAGAACGTAACATATCTTAAAACCTTTATTTTCATTTCGATTTCTTACAGTTTTCCTTAAATTTTAGTTATAACAAAGGTGTAATGTCCTCTGGACCCTTTAATATTCTGTTGATTATGTACAAATTCCTTGTATGTTAATATTATGTAATTTATTTTATCCATTGTTATAAATTGGTTATTATTTTTAATTCAGGTGATCGACTTTTTGGAAAACGACAATATTGACATCTTGTACTTCATTGATCGACTGAATGTAATGATCGGTATGTTTCTTATCATTAGCAACTTTTCGTTATATTTTAAAAGAAATCTATTTTCAGATGCTTTAAGAATATAATTTTTATAGAATAAGTGTGACAAACGTGCACACAGTACAACTGATGGTAAGTGGCTGTTGTGGCCAATGGACATCCACATCTATAGTCGATTAATAACGACCTCTGAGGGCTAAGATGGAATGCCTCGTTCGTTTCCAGGGATAAAGGTCTCGGGTTCTTTCCACTCACCATACGAGATACAGCAGCATTCAGCTGTTATTTTACGCTGAACTATGTAAGAGCGTAGTCCTTTCCCGGTGGAGCGGACCCATTCGTGCTGCAAAGCAAGGAAAACCATAGACTTATCCAAAAAGTTCAGACCAATGACAAGGAGCATTATTACTTGCTCTTCTATAATTTTTGAAGTTCTTATTGCGTTCTGTGCAAGATTTTTGGGCCAATCTATCCCAAGACATCCCGTGGGTGTCGTAAAAGGCGGCAGAGGGAAATGAAACTGAAGATGGGCACCATCTTTCTGCTAATAAAAAACAAATACAAAACTGCGATTGTACACGAACTGTGTTAACGTGGCAAACATCACATGTGGTGTGGACTTTTGATAGACTGTAATGTATAAAAAATGACCAATGACGTAGGAAGTTAATTTTCTCCGTCGCCACTTAACGGTATGTACGTTAAATGCCTATCTATTCTAGATTAAGAATTAAAATGTAAATGCGTTGTCTCCCTTGAGGACTATGATGAAATGCTTCGATTGCTATAAGGAAGGTGTTCTAGTCTCTAAACTCAACATACAAAACCCAGCAGCAATAAACTGTTGGACTGGACTGATATTCTGTGGGAGCGCAGTCAACCCCCGGTCATTCTGCTACAACCATGATGCATACACGGAAAGTTGCCGTGTGTGTGGGTAGACCACGTATGAAAGTGTACATTATTTTTGTAACTTCTTTTAATTTTCAGTAATGCTTTAAATTAAGTAAGTAAGTAATACTTTCAATATCCCTTTTTACTTACATATAATTTTTAATTTCAGAGGATATTCAAACAAAGAAAAGCCGCCACAACCTTAGTGGTAGGGACATGTCCGCGTACATCAACGATTGTGTCGCCGTTTTTCCAAAAGAGAAGTTGATTGCACTGTACGACCAAAAAATAGCTGAAGATGAAGAATTTAAAGTCGCAATGGATAATCTAATGAGTGACGAATGGAATCAAATTTGGGAAGCTCTCTGGGAAAGTGAGACTTTCCTTGCAGAAGCTAAGATTCTCTCTGAAAATGGAATCGATCTGAGAGTTCTACTTCAAGAACTTAAAGCTGTTTTTGGACAGTTTTAATTTTAAAACGCATTACAGAAAGTTGTTAATAAAGATTGTAAATAAAGTTTAATTAACGTTTAATAATTGTTATTTTAGTAGTCTTTAATAATGTTAATTATATAAATAAGCATTTAATAAAAAGTAAAGCTGCGTGCTAAGACATAGTTAATTTAAAAGTTATGAGTGAAGCACCGACTTTAGAACTTATTACAGAAATTTATAAATTTAAAGTTTTTAAAAGAGCTTACTTTTTAAAGTTTAATTATTTTGCCCTTTTGATCGGTCTAAGAAATATAACAAGTTTTGGCCAAGAAACAACTAGAATGTTGTTTAAATAAATAAATTAAAATCATCAACCACTTTCCCAACCGCAGGGATATTCCACTCTAAGGTATTTTGTCATTAAAGGGGAATGCCCACCGTTCATAGACACTTCGGCCATAGGTGCCCACATATAAAAGCATGTGGAAATGATAATATGCAATTAAAATAATGAAATGGTTTAGGAATTGGTTTAAAAAAAGTCCGGATTTTTAAGATATAAAGGTTTTTTATTTTCACAAGAACAGTTTTTAACAACAAATGACTTCGTATTTTCGTGACATTTAAACCACAATTGACACAGCGTTAATGTGTTCTTGAGTGAGTTACTGAGAGCTAGGAAGAACTCTGGGTGACGGAAAGCTGGGGTCATCGTTAACAGTGGATATCGAGTCCAAGTTTGTGCAGAGGTTATCGTAAGAAGTGGGAGCGGGATCCATTTTCAGGCCGTGGTCAATATGGCGAGAAGAATTATCGGAATCCATTTAGAAAGCTTATTCGTTACTTAGACAACAAATCCGCGAGAAAACAAACAAAATAACACAAATGCAAAGTCATTCGACTTGTGACTATTTAGTTTTGATAATTATGAAATGGGCCTAGCTGTCAGATTCGATGTTGCCAATTAACAGACATAAAATCGATAAATAGATAGTGATTTTTTTAATCGATTTATAATTTCATAAAAAGAATAATCTTTGATTCGCTTTAAGTTCTGCACACCTTTTAAAATATGTTTTGATTTATTTATTTAAATTCCATTTTAAATATATTTTTAAGAACAGATAAAAATAGCAGTTAAATTGTGCAGTAGCGTTTTTGTTATGTTCCAAAGAGTTCATGGTAAATCAACTAGCAATTCGCTTGTTTAATTATCATAACATCATAATAATTATCGAAAATAATATTACCATTATAATAATGACAACATAAAAATCGATTGAAAAAACAGAATCGACTTTTTTTTACGAGATTTGCGATTGGCAACACTTTTTATTTTACCCACAAACTAATGACTTGCGGATTTACCTAATTTCATTTTTATCTTATCGGTACTTTTTTTTGTGGAAAAATATTGCAATCTTTTTTGGATACATAAATACTGCGATTAATTACCATAAAAAAGATGTATTTTTTTTAACAAATGCAAATTGTTGGGCGTTTCATGGCCAGAATTGGGCATTCCCCTTTATTTGTGACCACTCTTGAACTATAACCTATTTAATAAAAAAAGAGTACCTCAAATCGGTTCAGTCGTTTCCAAGAAATCGGTGAACACACATTAAAGAAACATACCAATCGAATATAAAAACTTCTTGTTATATTGAATTCGGTTAAAACAGTATGTAAACCGACAGTTATTAAATCAGTATGTGTATACAATTTTAATGAAGGCCGTGGAATTGGGAAGAGTTCAATAATGCTTTTATAATACGGAACTTACGTGTCTTTTCTACCGATTTTAAAAAGGAGACGGTACTCAATTCGACTGTATGTTTTTTATACGTGTTACCTCATAATTTTTACTGGGTGAACAGATTTCGATGATTCTTTTTTTATTAGAAAGCTGGTCCCATATAAATTTGATCAAGGTCTGACCAATAGTATTTGAGTTATTCTTAATAATTTATATTGAAGTCGGTTGTACAAAATTTTACCCATCCGGAGATAACAATTCTTTTTTAAAATACTAGCAGTGCAATTAACATTACTAATATTACCTTTAAATACTCCTGGTAAGCTTAAATGCACGTGGTTGAATTTCACGGCAGTAGTCGAATGGCGGATACGAACCCACGACCTTTTGAGATCGAGGCCCGCATCCTGCCATTAGGCTACTGTCGCTTACAAAAAAATGTATTTCGTATCATATTTTCATGTAAATATTTCTTAGTCTCTGACTGTGCTTCAGAGTCTATTCCCAATCTTACCACGCCAACATTATATAGGTTACTGGTACTTTTGAAAAACAAGTGCCTCGTCTAATTGTAAGGCGCTGCACAAACGTGGACACTTTTTGTTACCGATACGGCACACATCACTGGAAACCGTAGTGCTGTGTCCGGCTGCGGCAATCGGACACAGTCGCCGGTTGCTACTTCTGTTCACCCGTAACAATTCGTTGTTTGTTTTCCGTCAGTTACACGATGGATATCGTTGAAGAAACATTACCTTTGGTTGTTGTGTTGATTACGCGTATACGTCGTCGCCGTTTGACGTAGTTGATTTACAGGCAAATCAACCACGTCAATGTCAGCGCCGTACAATTGTAAGGAAATTTGCTTTGTGTTGCTTGTGTCTTCAACTGACGACTTAAAGTTTCCAGTGACTTACACCCATTACTTTTTGATTGGCGGTCGGTATGTGTCAAGTGGAAGCAACTGGACACAAAAAGTGTCTGCGTCAGCGCAAATAATGGCTGATTTCATATTGATTACACGAAAACAAAATATTCACTGGTAGCTTGTATCCCACACAAGACACAATTGTCTACGTTTGCGCAGCGCCTAAGGCGAGCGAAACTGAAAGGTAGTGGGTACGAATTCGCCATTTGACTAATGTGGCGACCTTTTCTCAGCACAGCTAATCTATACTTGCATGTTATAATAAATCTGTAGAAAAGTCGTGTCTGTAATTCTAAAATTTTTTTGAAAACAAAATAACTCTAAGGGACTAAATAAAGTATATTGCAGCCAAACTATAGGTTTTTAGAATTTTAACATATTTATATTAAGTCACTTTCTTGTTTGTCTGTCTGTCTGTCTGTCGCTCCGGGTGGAATTCAGTAATTGATTTTAAATTAATCTTCCGATGAGCTGGAAGTTTGAAATTTTGAATATAGCTCAAATTCATAGCTATAGCTTTGCTTTGCTTTGCTATTGCATAGCTATAGCATAGCTCAAATATGATAAAAAACGTGGTAGTTTTTTTAATTTAAAAAGTTTCACTTGTTTCTTTCTATTCCATCTTCCTGTGTGTCTGTTGTGTGTGTATTTACGATTTACGCAAAAAAACTAAGAGACGAATAGAGAATATAGCTAGTGACCCGAGGCAACTTATAATCATCTTTTTATCCTATTACCGAACTTCAAAAAAAAGAGGGTTATATTTTTTCCATCCCAAGTTAACTATCATAATCATTATTAACTTTTATATTAGTTATAATTATAACTTAGAGTTGTTTATTATTACTTATTTTATTACTTATTTTAAATTTTATTTATAAATATGGTATACATTTAGTATATCATATTTATAAATAAAATTTAAAATAAGTTTTGACCGTTGTGTTATATAATTTGAATTTGAATAATTTAATATAACGCCGAAGTAAAATGCAAAATTGGGCTTTTACTTACTGATAAATTAAATAATACAAATAACTGAAATTTATATTTTATAATAAATATATTTATAAAATGTTTTGTTTGTGACTTTCATTATTTACTTTATTCGTTATTTCATTTTAATAGTGTAATAATATATTAAAATATAAATATTCCATAGAGAATATTAAAATTGAGATGGTTTTAGTTAAATTTCCAATCTAATTAAAACTGGTCAGCCTGCAACTACATATTCCAAGCTCTTTGTTCATATTATGCTTAGAGTTTTATTAAAGAGGCTTTTTCTTACTTAAAGCTTACCAGTTTTGGATTTAATACTTTAATTTAATAATAGTACCATCTACTTACAGCTGAATAAACTAATAATAAGATACTGATAAAATAAAATACAATAATACTATAAAATATTTATTTGCGCAGCATAAAAAAATGTCAGCCTTAAAATATCCAGACCGTTGTCCATTATAGGGATGATTTTCCACCATTGCACGTTTGACAAAATGCCTGTTTATTGAAATTTAACAAAATTGTTGTAAGTACTGCATACTACGTACACAAAAATGGTGATTAAGACAGAAGCTCTTCAAATGAAAAATGTTAATTTTATTTATTTAATAAATTTGTTATATTTTTAACTGTTTATTTTAACAGTTAAATGTAATCATCTATAAAGCATTGCACAAAGAGAAGACCGAGATAATAGGAAACTATATATCGTATTCTATCTCATTCCCTTCTTAATTAAATATCTGTATATATTATATATAGATGTAGATATATATTTGTCACTTTTTAGTGTCGCTTTTTCCTTTCAACGAGTTTCATATCACAACGATCCTAAAGAAGTTTTCACTTTAAAATATTTCTGATAATATTTTTATATGTGAAGTTCATCATCTCGCGTTGTGTCAGCACGGCGATCTGTTTCCTGTCTCAAAACACTCTGCAGCCTGTGCCCAGTAGTAGGATGTATGCAGGCTTTTGCTTTTCACTTTAATGGGGCTACTATTTAATTATAATTTCATTAATTTCTTAGGAGACTTTTTGTTTTCCTTTTACTGCAAGTATTAATGTGTAAAACTCATCACCGTTATCATTACAGCCTATTATAAGTACACTGCTGAACATAGCCTCCCACATTAATTGGCTGGATATTTGACATAGCCAGGCTTGGCAGGCAGGTTGGCAACAGATTTTTTTTTAATTTTTAGATATCATGACGGTGCTGATACTACTCATTTCCCGGTAGTTACCCTCTGTCGTCTCTTACGACACTCACTTGATGATATGGGCTAATGGATATTCTTACACCTCCACTACACAGTTATATGCCAAAAATATAAATTATCA